GTACACTGCTGAGGGGAGCAGTGGGCAGGTCAGGAGAGGTCTGCCACACCATGTGGGTCAGCTCCCTGGCAGGGGATCGAACTCGTGCTTTAGTGGCTTCACAGGGCTTCATAATGTGGTGCTTTAACCCATTGTGCCACCAGCGAGAGACCCCTCAATGCTTCATTTTATATGCCTGCTTCCACCCCTGTAAGCAGTGCTAATGACAGTGATAAGTTCCAGTTCACAGAGACCAGTGGGGTCTGGAATGGCTGCAAAAGAATTACCTAAGCCTCCACAAAAACATTATGGACATTTTCAAATCTATGCAAGAATAAAATAATAAAGCAATATTCTCTCCCTGGATAGACCTCATTTGCACTCCACAATACATAGCCTTTACTTTGTATTCTTTGCTGTAATGAATCTTAGCTATAAGTATATTCCACTATTGAGTCTAAGTCCTTCTGGCAAATCACCAAACCAAGTATGCCTCTATTTCAATGATTTAAAATTTAGAGCATAGGGCAGAGATTCAGATATAAAATTTAAGGAGTGCCCAAAACTCAGTAATCAAGAGACTGTTTTAATAACTTTTAAAGTATGAGAAATGAATGCCTAAAATTCACGATAAACAAGACATCAAAAATTCAAATAAGGGTAAGATTCTACCCTACCCTTGCAGTCTCTGGCTTCACTTGCCTTACCCCAATCCCTGACCTGGAGAAAAGAGGTACACAAATAATAAATGCCTTTCAGTTGCTAAAGCCAAAGTTGAGAGTAGCATCGCCAGCAATGTTTGTGAAGGCTGCTAATGGTGATAAATGGTCGCTGCCCTCATCTGATGCTCTTTTCATCTCCCTGAGTGTTTGCCTCTCCCAGTCCATTAGTCTCTGTCAGTGTCTCAGCTGCTTATGGGGTGACCAGGTAACCTGTTTTAGAGCAATGCATCCTTCAAAGTCCTGAAGACCACAAGAGAGTTTTTTCTCCGTATGCAGAAACCCATCTGTACCTAACAGCCCATCACAGGTTGAATGTAATTGGGTAGTTAACATGCGGATGTTCAGATGACCAAAGTTCTTAACAGAGCTTTCTTTAGTGGTCTCCTAACTTTTTAAGTTTCTATTTATAAACGATCAGGGAGATAGATACACTGGGAGATCCTAGGGTGCTAGTAATAGTTGCATGCTATAGTAGGTACTAATTATACCATTTGGCAATTCATTGGCCTACAGGAACACACATTTTCATGATAATCATTCAAAGATGCATAGGATGGTCCCTACTTTCCAGAGCAGGAAACAGCCTCAAGCCACCTGCTAACAAGAGGCAGATGAAGGGCTCAACTACAGTCATCTGACTACAGAAGCAAAAACTAGTGGGGCTTTTTTTTTTTTATTTAAGTAGAAAAAGCAATTTTTTTTTAAATGAACCTGAACAGCAAGCATCTGGGAGGTGATCCTTTAGGTGATTCACCATCCTTCTCACTTCTAGTCTCACTATTGTCCCCGACTGGCCCTTGAAGACAATCCTGTCCCCTTTCTAGTACACCCTGGAGCCAGGGAGTTGCTAGAAATAACTTCCATGATCTCAGGAGGAGCCCTACCGCACAAGAGCAAGAGCTTACTTGGGCTTCATAGGAGAGCTCAGTTCTTTTGAATTACTCATCCAGGAATAATTAATCTATTAGCATCTGTGCAGCCATATCCCATCACTCTTCTAGTGGACTGAAGTGACTTGGGAAGCCTAAAATGGCTTTAATATCATAGGCAGAGACAACTTTTGATAGCTGGCTCATACTAAACAGTTGGCCAAGAGCTGCTAAGTCTTTCTTATTCTACCTTTCCCCTACTTTGGTCTGGAACCAATGCGATTAACCCTAGAGATCTACTGGTGGACTTTAGAAAGGCATCAAAACTCTAGTATTAGCTACAGCTAATGTTCATATGCATATTTTTTGAAGAGTTTATAGATATTGGATTTTAAGAGGTCCTCAAAGCCAAATTTATGAATTGCTTAGATTAAAAACAATGTCAGGTTCCAGTTACAAAAAGCAGTCAAGTTTTTGGGTGGCTTCTCTGGAAGGCCACAGAATACACTTTTTTGAAAAATCTCAGTTGACTGAGATTTATATATATCTTGGGATATAATATGGGAGATTTATATAATATGGGAGATTTATATATATCTTGGGATTTATATATCTTGGGATATAATATGATGCTCCAGATGAAAACAAGCCCACATTATTTATTACATGGAATGTGCTTTGCCTCTTCTTTGTTCTAACACTGTGAAATGATCACAGTTGTTGTTTAAATTTCATCCCTACCCAATATTCATCCAACCTACTCATGAAAACTCCCAGCACCAGGGAATTTACCATGGCCCTACATTACAGGGTTTCTTTTAACCTAACATTTTATTGTGTGATAGTCTATATCTTTTGAGAATACCTGAAATGAGCTGGAATCCAGGGCAAGGTGAAAGAGCAAAATCATTACAAGATGGTGCAGTGTGGGGATGGCAGGTCAGGAAGGGGAGGCCAGGAAGCTGTAGGTGAAGGAGAATCCCGTATTTGAGCAGAGGAGGCTCGTCAGACAGTCCTGGCAGCAGTGGGAGAGAGAAACCCAAGGGATTCCCTAAAGCATCTCTATCTAATGCAAGGGAGCATCATATTTTCAAGGGAAGTAAGTGTTCTCCTATGTCTGTGCTCCACGAGGAATAAAACCTTTTACACATGCACATTTTAAAAGCATAATGCACAGTGGTTCTTAGCCAGATGTTTTACTGGAAATGTGAAGATATTTCTTCTACTATTCCTCAGTCGAATTGGACTCTAGATTTCCTTTAATGCTAGATAAGTAGTGCGTCACTGCTTCAGTAAGTCATTTTATCAGTTGTACTGTCCTAGGTGAAAGAGAGGAACACATTTATGGAAATGATCTCAAAGAAGTGAAATTAATTTTTCTCTACCCCAGGAGAGTAGTGGTATCACCAGAAGCCTTTCTAGTTGGTTCCATTGAGAGAAGATAGAAACTCATATGATCTCTTTGTCAAGTCACTCACTCCAAACTTCTTCAGTTTCTAGGGATTTTCCTGTGCAGATCACTGTAAGGTAGGACCCCGAGAGGATGGACATGGTTTGAGGGGTACCATGGGCTGAAGGCCACTCCCTAGGTGCAGTGGTGGAAGATCTTGTAGTATAATTGAGGCAACAAATGTTGGGAAATGAGTCAAAAGAGGTAAAGGATTTCAGATGCTGTTTCTTTATACTCGACTTCCCCTTTGTCTTTCGCCTTTGTTTTCTGCACAGAAGATTGATATTATTTGTTCAATGGAGCCCATGTAACAAATCTTTTTTTCTTTTTTGTAGGTTTTCAAGTGACATCTACGTCAATCCAGGTATGAATCTCTTGAGAGCTATGATTGGACGAATAGGCACGTTTTAGAAGTACACTCATTTGTATTTTGTGATATCAGTGATCTCAAGTTTTAAAAAACAAACAAAACAAAACTCCACATCCAGGATGTTAAGTTAGTCATATCAATGAGAAATTCAATAAAATGTCTTCAGACATGGGTATCTACAACATAATCAGAGGCTTCTTGGACAACTCTGGAATTAGACTATGGGGAGATGGATCAGCTTCATGGACAGCATCATCAATTTAGTTAATTTTATTTTCTATTAACTAACTGGCAGAAAATTCAGATTTGATATCCTTATGATCCTTAGGACAGAGGCATTTTGTCCCAGCAGTTCAAGACAGATTCAGTCTGTAGACACCAATTAAGAAATAATTGTTTTTAAGAGCCCAGTTGAGGGCTCTTCTACCTCCACACAGAATTGAGAGCCAGCAGGGCAAAGACTTTCCTCAAAAGCATAGCTATGGATTTGCTCAAAATGCTAGATGCATAATCAATTGAGAACACGGGAGTTTTATTTCAGAAAATGGAAACTAAACTTTTGTAGCGTCAGCAGCCACCAAACAATATCACCTGCTGAAGAGATGGAACTAGAAAACTCTTCTTTTAATTTTTTTTAAAGATGTATTTAGCCATGTATACAAGAACTGGGGTACAGACCAGAGGTGAGAGGGCATTCACCAGAGACAGAGTGGGGAGCAGAAGAGTCAGGTTAAATGAAATACACTGCTGAGGGGAGCAGTGGGGAGACAGGAGAGGTCTGCTGTGCCATGTAGGTCACCTCCCTGGCTGGGGACCGAACTCGTGCTGCTGTGGCTGAGGATAACTTCATAGTGCTGCACTTTAACCTTCTGCACCACCAGGAAAGCCCAGAAAACTGTTCTGAATTAGAGAGAAACTTTGCCTGTGTTACACTGGCATGAGCACAGAATCAAGCAGGAAGGCAGAGCTGCCAGTGGGATGCAGGGGCAAGAGCCTAGTATCACTCTTCTATTTGTTCACTCTTCAGACAAAACCAAGTAAGTGTTTTTCACTTAGGAGGGATTCTTCTAGATATGGATGTTTCAAATCAAGCATAAATTCTCCAAGTGCTTGGACTGGAACGAGAAAAATATATGAGGTTAATACCCAACTCAAACAGAAATGGGCTTGGAAAGGAAGATTGGATCAAAATCTTGGAAAACTTGAAATTAAGACTTGAACACAGGGTCTAGTCTTGATTCTGTAGGCAAGAGAAGGGAAGACAGCAAACATTAGGTAAGAGAATGACACACATGATGTCGTTAAGGATCTGGTTGTTATGGATCTAAGGATGGAAGTAGGGGATGAGGAAGACTACTGTAATGATCTCAGTTAACAGTATCTCTAGCCAAAACCAGAAATAAGGATGAAATTATTAAAAGGGGCAAGGTAGAATGGAAAAAAGATAGAACTTTGGCAAACACAGAATTGACAACAACAGGAGAAAAGGAACCAGAAGAGAACTTGGGGGAGGGATTCAGGGGTAGAAGCCAGAAGAAGAGGATGTTCCTATTACATAGAAGCTGTTTGGTTAACTGAGGAATACAAAGGTTGAAAAGTTACTATTGAAATTAGATGTCGGAGATTCTTTTATGACTTTCAAGAGCCTAGATGAGGTAATGAGTGAGAAATGACAGTTGAAAAAAAGTAGATGTAGTCTACTCACTCAAGAATTAGGGCATGAAATGAAGAAGAGTAATCTGATATATTCATTAGAAACATTTTGGTTGAAAGTAACAGTCACCCAAAGGTTTCATTATTAAAGAATCTATGAGGATACTTCAGATTTCTTGCATGAAGATATTTAGGGTTCAATCAATGTCAGCAGAAGCCCTGGCTTGACTTTGTTTTCCTCTGCTTGGTGCCTTGATTTTCAGGTTCCCCGTGGTGGCAAATTACCTGGGGTAGTTTTAGCCTCCTAGTCGTCCAGGCTCCAATCCAATGAAATCAAAAGCATAAGCTTTTGCCTAGTCACTTAAGCAAAGTCCTGGAATTTGCTGTGTTTGGTTTGTATTGGCTTGTCTGCAGTCAAAATTTCATTCCTGATGGGGACAGGGCTCATGGATTGGTCTAGATGTGGAGATAAAGCCCTACAGAAGCATATGGATAAAGAAGGGAAAGGGAAGTGTTTTTTTTTTTTTTTGTGGAGAAAATGTTGACAGGTAGGTAGAGAAGTTGAAGGTGCCTTGATTTTCAAGTTAAATAGCTTCAATTTTTAAGTAAAAACTAATGAAAGGTCATGCTATTTTTGGGGAAAATTATTTAAATATATTGCACTGAATATATTTCAGCAAATATATACAAAAAGAAACTGAAAATAAAATTCTACTGTTAGCATATGAAAAGCTTTATTCTTTATATTGAATATAAAATATTTACACAGTTTAAGACTGAATTTTTTACTTGACATAATCCTTCATAACATTTTAAAATTGTGTACAATTTCAAAGAATAGATGTATTATAAATCCCTTAGCCATTCTACTAAAAAGTACATTTAGAGTGCTTCTATATTTTATCACAAATAATATTACTCTTACTATTCATTTAGTTGTTTTACCTTATATTTCTGTAGCAGAAGTCGTCCTTCCTAAGTGTGTGGCAAAGCACATTTCATAAGGTATGAGCATAAGGTATGTTAGTGATTCCAACCATAAATGTAATTATAGTTTCCTCATATACCAAGTATTTCCAGTGCTAGCTTCAAGACAATAACTAACATAACATACTGAACACTTACTACATGTAGAGATGGGTCTAAAAACTTTACTCATGTTAATTCATTTAATTCTCACCACAACCTTGTGAAGGGAAGAAGTTGTTATGATCTGTATTTCTACAGACAGGGAAACTAAGATACAAAGAAGTTGTTAAAGGAAACAGTTAGGAAGTGGTAGACCGGTATTTGGAACAAAGAAATCTGAACCCAGAGCCTGCACGATCTGTCACTCACCTGTATTTCCTTGCCATTATTTTTGAACATTTCTCCAAATATTGCTAGTGATTTATGAGCATTTGTGTAATGACTTCATCATGTCCTTTTAAAGATATTCTTTGGGGCCCTCCCTGGTGGCGCAGCGGGTTAAAGCACAGCACAAAGAAACTTAAACCACTTCCGCATGAGTTTGATTCCCGCCTGCCCCGGAGGTGACCACATGGCGAGGCAGACCTCTCCCGGCCCGCCCGCTGCTCCCCTCAGCAGTGTACTTCGTTGATCTGCCTGTTCTGCTCCCCATTCTCTCTCTCTGTTGAATCCTCTCACCCTCTGCATCTCTGACCTGTACCCCAATTCTGTACAAATAAATAAATAAATCTTTAAAAAAAAAAAAAGATATTCTTTGGATGGTTCTGCCCCAGAAAGGTGTAATAATGAGATATCACTTACAGAACTGCACACAGATGCACGAAACGGGAGATTTGTTATATTCATGCATGTTTTAACCCCTCACCAATAGGTACAGTTCAGAAACTAAGAATTACATTGCTAAGTATGAGAAATAAATGTAGTTTTTTTTTTTTTAAATCCATCCAGGACTTCAGGTATTTTTTTAGGCTCTCTGATTTTTTTTTAAGATTTATTTATTTATGTATATAGAACTGGGGTACAGGGCAGAGGTGTAGGGGCAATGAGAAGGTTCACAGGGGCAGAGTGGGCAGCAGAACAGGCAGACTGGTGAAGTACACTGCCAAGGAGAGACTGCCAAAGGTCTGCCGCGCCATGTGGATCACCTCCGGGGCCAGGGATCGAACTTGCACTGAAGCGCCTGTGACCAACTTGCAGTACTGTGCTCTAACCCGTTGTACCACCAGGGAGGGTCTGGATCTCTGATTCTGAATCTAATTCAAGTCTGCCAGTTACCATGGAAACATACCTTTGAGGTTTCCTTGAAGAGTAGAAACATCGGTATTGCTCTGACTTTGTAAGTTTGGGCCAACTCCTACAGGGGGAAAATGGCATAAAATCACAAATTGGTGTCTCCTGTCTGCCAAGTATGAGGCTGGGTGACTTCTTAGGCAGTGTCTGACAGCCAGGAAAGGCTCATACTTTACAGGTTCTCTGGCAAAGAACCTTTAAAAAAAATGTACCTTCTAAGCCTCTAGGAAAGTGACAACAGAAAATGAATGTTCCCAGCATTCCTGAGCTTTCCCATCCCAGAGCTCTACGCGAGAGTGGAAGGTGGAGGTGGAAATGCAGTAGGTGCTAAAACACTAAAAGAGCAGGGCTTTAAAAAATTTGACATGTTACATTTTTAAAATATAAGGTGTATACAATATTACCTTGATACATTTATATTGCAGTATTACCATTACAGCAAGCTTAGTCACATTACATTACAGCACAGTGTTACTGTCTATACTCACATACTGAGCATTACATTTCAATGATTTCTTTACCACTTGTGAAATTTTATCCTCTCGAACACTAGCAAGATTATACCCTCAAATACTACTGGGAGGCAGTTACCCTAACCTTTCAGTAACTACCATTTTACTATCTGCTTTTCTTTTCTTTTTTTATGTTTGACTTATCCAGATTCCATATATAAGTGCTATCATTTTTCTCTTCACTATTGCATCTGACCTAGCACAAGGTACTCAAGATTCACCCATGTTGTAAATCACAGTTTTCCTTCATTTCTAAGTAAAGCCTATTTAAAAAATCTTGTGAAAAAAGGCCAGAGTCAAGGTCTCTTTCTAGTTTATACTGAGACATGAAGGACATAATGATCTCGAATACAGTTCTATTCTTTAAAGCCCTATTTCTCTTCACTGCCCATCTGTGATAGATTTGGAACTAAAGACAAACTTATGTAAGAATTTCAATTCTAATTTCCAATTAGAAAGCATACAATCTGCTTTCAAATGTCAGTTTCTGTTTATCTTGTTTTTGAGTTCATGACCACAACAATGATAACTAATAATGAGGATAGACAATTATGCATTTTCTTTCACTTTAAAAGTCAGAGCTATAATTGAAAAGTCAAACAATAACACACAGTCATGAGGGCATGGAGTATCAGAACCCTCAAAATTGTGGGAAACTGAAATGGTACAGCTGCATTGGAAAACAGTTTCAGTTCCTCAAACTGTTCAATACTGAGTTAACATGTGAGCCAACAATTTCACTTCTAGACAGATATTCGAGACATGAAGGCACAGACACATATCTTTATGTTGATATTATTCATAATAATCAGAAGGTTGAAACAACCCAAATATCCATTCATCAATGAATGAATAAACATAGTAGTTTAGCATTAAGCAATAAAAAGTATGAAGTACTAATTAATATAAACTATAACATGGATGAACCTTGAACACATACTCAACAGAACACCAGGTACTCCATGATTCCACTTATACAAAATATCAGTACAAGTGAATCTACAGACAGAATGTAGATTTCTGGTTGTTTAGAGTTAGGGGTGGGGAATGAAGGGAACTGATAATGACTTCTTTACAGTGATGAAAATATTCTAAAATTGATTGTTGTGAGAGTTGCACAATTCAGTAAATATAAAAAAGATAATGAGCCTTACTGTGTAATCTGAAGGCACAGTGTATGATTCAACTTAAAGGGATATTAAATCCTTTCACACTTAATGAAATCTAAAGGAAATAGAGAAATAAAACCACAATTACGTGTCCTGGGCACTGTCCTATAATTTATGTATTTTATTTCATTTTATATTCTGCTAAGTACGACTACTCTTGTTTAACAGATGAAAAAGCTGAATTTATAGAGGTGAACCGGTAATAAGTGAATAATAGATTTAAAATTTTTTATTCTTTTTATTTTGTTTTTATTCTAAAGTTCAAATTCAATTTAATGAATGTATAAGTCATATGTTATTATAGCTTTTCCTCATTATAAATGGATGTTTGCAAGAAAGTTTTACAGAAACATTGTGTGTCCAAGGTACAAAGTGAACAAGGTAAATTTTGATTAAAACTTGAGGTTGATTATTTGGGGATCATGAAACAGGGAGAAGCAAGAGGGATAGATTTCCTGGAATTCCTTGTGATGTTTAGAAAACCCACAATACCATAAGATACAGCAATCTAGAATGTGGAAACCAAGGTTTTTAAAAAGTTTTCAATGCATTGAGTTAAGTTTTAGAAATTAATTGGCAATCTGTTAAGGGAGGTGAAAATCATTTTTCACCTTGACCCCCAACTCTAGTCAACTCTGCTAAGAGTATAGAGCAATTGTGCTAAATAGGATACTGGAGAAAGTCTGCAGCACGTGGGAAAGCTTTCTGGGATTGATTAGCAATGTCTGTCAAAGTATGGGCATAAAGAGGGGACTATAGGAGAACCTATCTTTGCTATTCTTTTTCAAAGTAGTAATAAACTTGTAAGAACATCCTGAGGCAGCTCACCACAGTTTATCAGGACAAAAACTGTTAAATTAATCATATAATCACTGAGACAGTGCTCTCAATGGCATTGCATGAGATTTCATGTACCTACACAAAAGGATTCAGGATTCTTACCTGAGCATCGTCCACATCTACAGTAGCAAACATTACATTTTGGTACTGCAGTGTCATTGCCTTCAAAATAAAGGGAAAAGAAATTCCCTATTAGTTTAATAATGACATCAAAACTGATGTTCTGATACTTTTGTTTTCTACTTTTTTTTGGCAAAAAAACAGAAAATGACCATCAAGATCATTTAAAGAGTTACGCATCATTCTGACATTTTAATATTACCTGGAACTTGAACCATCATAGTCAAATGTCAGATGATGCCAAGGTCACATAAAGATCAGTGAAGACCCAGAGTCTTTAGGAACCAAACTCAAGATTAGAATTTCAAAGTTGGAAACTGGCACAAAGCAGAGAAATAACTAAATGCATGAGATGGGTCCTGGCTTAACTATGGGGTAAAGGGCGAGAGAGATTTTCCCAACAGGGAGTCTGTCTTTAGTGATCTTTAAAGTAAATAGTGCCACATTACAATAGGTAAGATATGGACACAATCCAAATGACCCAAAATAGAGGACTGAATCAAGAAGATGTGGTATAAATACACAATGGAATACTATCCAGCCATCAAAAAGATAAACTTCGGCCATTTGAAGTAACATGGATGGAGCTGGAAGGGATTATGCTCGATTAAATAAACCAGAATGAAAGAGAAAAATATTGGATGGATTCATTTATAGGAGGAATGTACAGAAACCAAAATAACAGACCAGGAAAATTATAATAAATTAAAAAACAAAAGTAACGGGCAACTATTAATCAGGAACATTCTGTGAGGAGGCAAGGGGGAGGGGGAGGGATCAAAACAGGGGAGGGAATGTGTTCTTATACAAGTACTATGGTGATAGTGCACGGGTGAATTGATGGTGGAAATTCTATGGGGACTACACCTGAGATAAGAAAGCAAACACTGTACAAAAATGAAAAATGATGTAAAAAAATATATATATATAAATAAATAATTTAAAAAATAAAACAAAATTATGAATTAACAAGAAAAAAAATACAGACTTTTAAGCTGAATCTCCCATCTCTGCCTCTACTTTCGCCTTTTGTAGGCTTCTAGGGAGGTGGTAGTGTTGGCAGTGG